GTCAGACGGTCGCAAAAGGGAATCGGGCGACCTCCCTTCGACCGTCGTAAATACGAGTCAGCTTGCCAATTTGGATAGGCTGTGACGGTCGTGAAAGCATGAAAAATGGCCATTTAGTCACTCTTTTTGGTGCTGTTGTGACCTCAGTCACTAAAGGAAGCATTGTAAGTCGAGGACTAGCTACACAGAGCCCTTCTGTGGGGGGGCGTGGGGCATAGACCGGGGAAAATTGCGGTAGATAAATAAATTTATCATTCTGGTTATTAAATCATAACAAGGTACGGTAGTGGTATCAAACTGGCGGCCTGGAAGCCGGATGTGTCATGCCGAAACCACACGACACGTCATGTGATGTTGTGAGTTTGACACCTGTGGTCTATGGAGATTCTCGCCCATCCGGGTCACAACTGGACTTCCTTGGGTGTGTTTTTTTTTTCTTGAAGTTTCACTCCCCATCCGAGAAGCTTCTTTAGGTTCTGACTAACAGTTTGGTTTTTCGGTCGGAACTGGAGGAAGCTTCTTTGGACGAGAATGGAAACCTCTTCACGGGGCCGGCAACCTGTGGCTCCGGAGCCGCATGTAGCTCTTTGAGCCTTCTCCTGCGGCTCCCAGCCTCCTCTGCCATTTGCAGAGAGACAGAGAGGCACTTGCGCTCCCCCCCCCCGTGTAAAAAAGAAAGTGGCCTCACACTGTTCTCCCACGAGCTGACAAGCTTATTGGGCAGGGCTCCTGCCTTGGCTGCATCTCAGCAGGAAGCAGGAAAGGGCAGGAGAGAGCCAGCCCAATAAGAATGGGTGTCAGCTTGTTGGAGAATAGCCTGAAGCCAGCTTGCCAGGGGAGCCAGCTTGCCAGGGGAGAGAGAGAGAGAGGAGGGGGGAGAGAGAGAGAGGGAGAGAAAGAGAGAGAGGGAGAAAAAGGGAGGGAGAAAAAGAGGGAAGGGAAAGAGGGGGAAGGAAAGAGGGAGCAAAGAAAGGGGATAGAGGAAAGGGAGAGGAAAGAAAAAGGGAGAGGAGAGGGGGAGAGGGAGAGGAGAGAAAGGGAGAAAGACGGAGAGAAAGAAAAAGGGACAGAAAAAGGGAGGAAAAAGAAAGGGGAAGGGTGAGAGGAAAGAAAGGAAAGAGGGAGGAAAAAAGGAAAGGGGAAGAGGGAGAGGAGAGAGGGAGAGAGAAAGGGAGAGACAAAAAGGGAGAAAGAAAAAGAGGGAAAAGAGAAAGGAGAGAGAGAAAGGAGAGAGGAAAGAGGAGAGAGAGAACGCATGCACAGCAGCCTATTTCTTTTTAATTCAACTCTTCAATCAAGCTCCCCACCCCTGGCGTGTGTGTGCGCAAGCGCGTGCAACTGTTGCAGCTCCTGGTGTTTTCTCTGGGAAACGGGCCCAAGTGGCTCTTTTGAGTGTTTCAGGTTGCCGACCCCTGGACTAAGCGTTTATTTCTTCAGTCAGAACTGGAGGAAGCTTCTATGGACGAGAAGGGAAACCTCTTCAAGGGGAAAAAAATATAGTACACGCTCCGACTCGACGGTGGGGAACGGACGGATCGATACTCCTGGCAGACGGCTGGTCGTTTGCCGCTTTTTAGAGTTGAGGCCACTTGGGAGGTGTATCGGAGTCCTCCGGGTCGCCGGAGTAGCGACGGGTTTCTTCTGCTACGTTTCGTGCCACGAGCTCGTGACGTGGTTGGTTTTTACTTCCCCGCTGCACAGGCCGCGTTGCTTAGCTTACGTCGGGGTGTTTTATCCTAGGGGTGGGACCAGCTTTTGCCTTGGGTTCGAAGTGTGCCTGGGGGTTGGGTTTGGCTGTAGATCGTCTTGAGCTTGTCGGATCTGCCTGGTACGTGTGGGAAAACGCAGGAGGCCTTGTCAGCCAACGCAACATCCGCACACACTTTAAACCCAAGAATACACTAGGGCAGAAGAATAGAATAAGGTAGAATGGGAGTTAGCAGAGAATAGAACAGAACAAGATACAAGAGGAGATAACAGATTATAGAGTAGAACGGGATAACAGATTATAGAATAGGATAGGAGATAAGAGATGATAGAATAGGGTAGAATAGAATAGGGTAGAATAGGAGATAGATGATAGAATAGGGTAGAACGGGATCACAGATTATAGGAGATAGCAGATTATAAAACAATATGAGATAACAGAATAGGGTAGAATAGGGGATAACAGATTAGAAAATAGAATATGAGATAGCAGAATAGGGTAGAATACGACATAACAGATTATAGAATAGAGTAGAATAGAATAAAGTAGAATAGGAGAGAACAGATTATACAATAGAGAAGAATAGAATAGGGTAGAATAGATAACAAATTATAGAATAGGGGATAACATAGAATATAATAGGAGATAACAGATTATAAAATAGGAGATAACAGAATAGGGTAGAATAGGAGATAACAGATTATACAATAGAATAGGAGATAACAGGATAGGGTAGAATAGGCGATAACAGATTATCGAATAGAACATAGAATAGGGTAGAATAGGAGATAACAGATTATACAATAGAGAAGAAGAGGAGATAACAGATTATACAATAGAGAAGAATAGAAGATAACAAATTATAGAAGAGGGTAGAATAGAGGATAACATAGAATATAATAGGAGATAACAGAATAGGGTAGAATAGGAGATAACAGATTATACAATAGAATAGGAGATAACAGATTATACAATAGAGAAGGAGATAACAAATTATAGAAGAGGGTAGAATAGGGGATAACAGAATCTAATAGATAACAGATTATAAAATAGGAGATATGATAGAATAGGAGATAGATTATAGAATAGAGTGGAGTAGGAGAGAACAGATTATACAATACGAGATAACAATAGGATAGAACAGGAGATAACAGATTATAGAATAGGGTAGGAGATAACGGATTATGGAATAGGGTAGAATAGGAGATAGACTGTAGAATAGGGTAGAACGGGATCACAGATTATAGGAGATAACAGATTATAAAATAGAATATAACAGAATAGGGTAGAATAGGGGATAACAGATTATAAAATAGATTAGAACATAGAGTAGAATTGGGTAGAATATGAAATAACAGATTATAGAATAGGGTAGAATAGGATAGAATAGAAAATAACAAATTATAGAATAGGGTAGAATAGGGGCTAACAGAATATAATAGGAGATAACATTATAAAATAGGAGATAATATAGAATAGGGTAGGAGATAACAGATTATAGAGTAGAGTACGAGATAGCAGATTATAGAATAGGGATAATTGGGGATAACAGATTATAAAATAGAACAGAACATAGAAGAGTAGGAGAGAACAGATTATAGAATAGAGGAGGAGATAACAGATTATAGAATAGGGGATAATTGGGGATAACATTATAAAATAGGAGATAATATAGGAGATAACAGATTATAGAGTAGGAGATAACAGATTATAGAATAGGGGATAATTGGGGATAAGAGATTATAAAATAGGAGATAATATAGAATAGGGTAGAATAGGAGATAACAGATTATAGAGTAGAGTAGGAGATAACAGATTATAGAATAGGGGATAATTGGGGATAACAGATTATAAAATAGAACAGAACACAGAAGGGTAGAATAGGAGAGAACAGATTATAGAATAGGAAATAACAGAACAGGATAGAACAGGAGATAACAGATTATAGAATAGTGTAGAATAGGCAATAACAGATTATAGAATAAAATAGAACATAGAATAGAACAGAGATGGAAGGGACCTTGGAGGTCTTCTAGTCCAACCCCCTGCTCCGGCAGGAAACCCTGTAGTACCATTTAAGGCAAACGAGTGTCCAATCTCTTCTCAAAAACTTCCAGTGTTGGAGCATCCACAACTTCTGGAGGGAAGCTGGTCCACCCCAGAGATAAAAAAAAAAAAACCCAACACACAAACTGAGCAACGTGGCGCGTGAAGCACAACGCAGTCAGCCACGCGCAGATCTCATCGGGGACACAAAGCAACCCCTTCCCCCAGCTCGTGGCGCTAAACAGAACACACCCCAATCGGGATGAGATTCAGCTGTCAATCTGCGTTTGAAAGACAGGGGACACTCTCTTTTGGGGACCGCAAAATTCCACCTTTTGGACCGAGAGGACGGCTGGTTTGAAAGAGAGGGAGGTCCAAGAGGCCACACGGGTCAAAATTGAGACACCCTCCGTCAACGGAGGGGTAGGGAGAAGGCATCAACTATCTTCCGTCTACAACGCGGGTAAACGCGTCACGTGACGTGCCGTGACATATTGCGACTATTTGGGCATTGCTGGAGCTGGGGTGGGTGCGGCCTCCACGTGACGGAACCGGCAGTTTGACACCCCTGGTCCGGCAACATTGTCCTTTCAGCCGTTCCGAGAAGGCCCCACACCCGTTTGTACCACGCGGGTGACTCGTGGGACATCGATAAATCTCCAAGTGGCCTCGGCGACTCTCGGAGCGACGTATTGCAACTATTTTGGCGTTGCCGGGGCTGGGGTGGGTGCGCCTCCACGTGACGGAACTGGCAGTTTGATACCCCTGGTCAACAACATTGTCCTTTCAGCCGTTCCGAGAAGGCCCCACACCCGTTTGTACCACGCGGGTGACCCGTGGGACATCGATAAATCTCCAAGTGGCCTCGGCGACTCTCGGAGCGACGTATCGCAACTATTTTGGCGTTGCCGGGGCTGGGGTGGGTGCGCCTCCACGTGACGGAACTGGCAGTTTGATACCCCTGGTCGACAACATTGTCCTTTCAGCCATTCCGAGAAGGCCCCACACCCGTTTGTACCACGCGGGTGACCCGTAGGACAGCGATAAATCTCCAAGCGGCCTCGGCGACTCTCGGAGGGAGCGCAAGGAATGATAAATCCTTCCATACCCCAACGTCCAGTCACAGCTTGTCGTTTCCCCCCCACCCTTGAAGACCTCTGTAGATATTTGACAAAATATTTTTATTTTTTTTTAAAAAAAGTATTCCCAAACAACCGCCCAATGAATGACCACTCCGGAGCCTGTGTGTTAATTCATCCGGTCCAAGTTCCTTTTTATTGATTAAATTAGCATTTCCGTACAACTGCGTAGGATCGACCGCTTTTCTGGAGAGAAAAGTCTAGAAAGCGCCGGTGGCAATCATGATTGCTTTTTTTTTCTTTTTGTTGTTTTGAAACCCCCCCCCCCAAGATCAGGAGAACCATGATTCCAAGTTAGGCAGAAGAAGAAGAAAAAAAAACAAAACCCGCCGATTCCGGAACTGCGGGATTTCGCGTTCGGGAAAAGCGCGGGCTCCAGAACGGCGTAGATTAAAAGGATAAATTTGTGTGAAAATTTATCGCCCTCTCTTCGCAAGCCCCCAACCCCCGACCGCAGCAGCTCAGGGGAACGAAGCCCATCATCCACGAATCCATCTCGCCCATCAATCCACACTTCCCTCTTGCTTTCCAGGTCCCGATTCGACGGCGTCCGTTCCCAAGCGTCCCATCTTGGTGTGTGATACAGCCTCTTAAGCTTCCCCCCCCTTTTTTTGAGTGGGGGGGGTCTCCCGCAGCCCCTAACTTTTCCTTCCGGTGTGGTGCTTCGGATTCTCCCACCTTCCGATGGGCTTATCCAAGTCGCCCCTTCCTCCCGCCCCACAGAGGCTCAGCGGCTCACGGCCCTCTGCTGGACCCTTCCTCGCCGGTCGTGAGGCACTCCGAATCCAAAGACGGGCCTCCGTTTTTGCGCCCAACTTTCCCGGCGCCTGGCTCGCCAGCCGAGCTCGGTGATGGCCTCTCTAGCGTGTGGGTGTGACTCTCCCGACGTCTTCTTTCCGGGGCCCAAGAGGTCATCTGTTGTTCAGCGCGGGCGGGGCGAAAGGTTCGGCCGGGCGCTGCCGATCGCCGTCCTCGGGAGGCGCCGGGCGCTTGGCCAGGAGGCCGGCGTCGTCGAGGTGGTTAGTCCTCAAGGCTTCGTCCCACTGCTGGCCAAAGGTTTTGTGGGAGGGCTCCCGCAGTGCCCGGTGCTCTGCGTCGGAAAGAGGGAAGGTGCGGGGTTCCCAAGGCGGCACGTTCTGGAGAGAAGAGGAAGAACAGAAGGCGTATTCAGCGAGGGAAGACCCATACAGGTAGCCCTCGACTTACAACCTGTTGCTTAACGACCGCTTGCAGTGACAACATACCTCTGCAGGAAGACAGGTAGTCCTCACCATGCAACTGACTCATTTGGTGACCGGCACGGGGAAAAAGCAACTTAGGACAGTTTTTTTTCACCCTTCATAAGGTTGCTAAAGTGAGTCGCCCGGTCGTTAAGCGAATCGGGCTCCCCCTTTTGATTTTGCTCCTCAGAAGCTTAATAATAATAATAACATTAATAAAGTCGGAAGGGGCCTTGGAGGTCGTCGAGTCCCACCCTCTGCTCAGGCAAGTTGCACAAGGGGATTCGCTCGAACCACCTCCCAGACACGGCGACCGGTCATAAAACAGGAGTTGCTCGGTGTCCAAAGTTTGAACCCACGGCTCGGGATACCGGAGCCGTCATAAATGCGAGTCGGGTGCCGAAGCGTCGGAATTTGGATCACCTCACCGGGGGGAGGCTGCGACGCGGACGGTCGTCAGGGTGAGAAAACGGTCGTCGGAGCGTCAAAACGATCGCCAGCCGTTCGGTCGAGGACGGCTGGGATTCCAATTTTCAAGGTTTTCCCACCGGCTTCCCCAATGAAGTCGGTGGGGAAGCCGGGGCGACATGAGATCGTGGTGCTTAAGGCAGGGCTTTTCCAACCAGTGGTACGGGTACCACCTGTGGTACATGGGCGCCTGGCAAGTGGTGCGCGGCCATCCTAGAAAAGGGGTAGCGGGGGAGGGGAATGAGCTGAACCGGTGGCAACACCGCACAAGCCTGAGCGAGAGACGGCTGGAGCTGCAGGGCTGGGCGGAAGTGCCAGGATCAGCGCGTCTTCTGGAACCGTCAGGGCTCAGTGGAAGCGCCAGGATCAGCGCCAGGCTCCAGCTGGAGCTCGGCGCGGATCCTGGCGCGTCCGCTGAGCCCTGAAGAAGCGCCGATCGGCTGGAATGTTTCCCCCTCTCCAGGGTCTTGTGATTGACATTCTGATGCTTGGCAACCGATTTGTATTTATGACGGTCCCAGTGTCCCGGGGTCATGTGAAGGGACCAAAACCTGCTGCAACCACCCAGCAGACCGGGGGGGGGGGGGGAGGGAAATAAAAACCAAACAACCCCCCACCCCACCTCAACAGAAACGCTCACAACAACGAAAACCTCGGACAGGAGGAAGAGCGCGGCCGGGCGGCCAGGCAGGCATCTTGCTCAGCTGTGGCTTGGGGGGGGGGGGGGGAGAGAGACACTTTTTTTCAGTGCCATTGCAACTTCAAACAGTCACTAAGCGAACTGTTGTAAGTCGAGGACTACCTGTACTTTACCACTGTTTTCCTTTTTTTTCCCTTTGTCTTGATCATCAAGTTTTTGACACCTTGCTAGGCGGCGGGGTGGTACTCAGACATTGCCATATCCTAAAAGTGGCCCAATGGGTGAAAAAGGTTGAAAAGCCCTGCCTTAAGGGCAGGGGAGTCTGAGGAATCAGAGGTGGAGGAGAGGCCTGGAGGGACATCGGAGTCAGAGGAAGGCTCTGAGGAGCTCCGAGACGTAACAGTCGGACGAGGAGCCCGGCCCCTCTACTCACGCTCAGGCTGAGACACAGCTGTGCCGGGAGCCTGAGTTGGATAGTGATGAAGAACAGCTGAGACAAAGCTGGCAAGAGAAGAGAGTAGGAATGCAAACAGGGTGGCTCCAAAGGCAAAGGAGAAGGCATTAGGCAGCCACGCCTGGGCTGAATTATAAAAGGGACGGGGTGGGAGGTGCTGGTGGCCGAAGGCAGCCGTTCGTATTGAGGAATCGAGTTCCTGTGAACTGTGTTTTGTTTGCCTTGGGCGTGGACTCAGGTCTGTGAATCATAAAAAGGGGGCTGGTTTTTTCCTGAGGTCCCAGCCTGCTTGTTGGAAGAGGGGCTTCTCCTTGTGAGCTTCACGAGGACTCCCGTAGGCTGGGACAAAACGCACGCCTCTGATGCCACAATCTGTCCGTCGGAGTGACCCACTGTGGGATGCCAAGTTCTCACCTGGATCTCGTCGGCGCTGAAGGACGAGTCCTCGCTGAAGGAGTTCCCGCCTCGCCCTCGGAACAAGAGGGGCGTCGGGACGCTGGAAGGGTCCGGGCTGAGCGAGGCGGTGGGTGAGTTGGCGCCCGGCGGGTAGTGAAGACTATTCAGCCCGCTCTCCTGGTAGCCGGGAGGAGGCACCCAGCGCCCGTCGGCTTTGTTAGAGCTCCTGCAAGGAGAACAGGAAAGGGAACCCGCCCCCATCAAGCACGGAGCCTGACAGAGCAGCCAGAAAAATGCCAAGATGGCGGGCGGGTGGGTGGAGCTGGGGGAGGGGGGAGATCTTATTCCTTCCGCCCCAGTGACGGACAGGACTGTGCCCATCGACAGGCGCGTCTCCCAAAGGCGATCACAAATGGGGAAAATGATTGGGGGGGGGGGGTGCGCGAGAAACGCTGGGAAAGAGAGAAAAGCTCCATGGCCTGCCAGCTCCAGAGAAGAACATTCCAGAAAAAAAAAATTATCCATTGCATTTTCTGGGGTGGTGAGGGAAGCAGGTCGGGAAAGGTTTTAGATGCTTGGTGACTTCTCTCTTCGAAGCCCCCACCCCGTCCCCCTAAGCATCTGCTCTAGAGACGTTATCCCATCATTCCTTTGTAGAATTCCGACGCCACGTAATTCCACACCACCACGTGTGTCTCGTTTGCTGGGCCCAGGTGATTAGCTTCTGGGGGCGTCTTCTTGCTGCATTATTGTCCCTAAAGTAGGATTCCCAAGCCAGCCACGGGGCAATTAGTTTGTCTGTCCCTCCGTCCATCCAATCCACACATTCATCCACTCTCTCTCTCTGTGTCCCTAGCTGTCATATCTCTGGTCTATCCATTCATCTACCTCAATCATTATCCCTCTATCACGTCATGTATCTCTGCATCCATCCATCCGTATCGTCTCTCTCGCTAGCTATCGTGTTCTCCATCAAGCCTTCGATCCATCCATCTCTCTAGCTATCTATCATAGATCATCTTAGGCATCCATCCACCCACCCACCATCTCTCTAGCTATCATCTATCCTGTATGATCCTTCCATCCATCATATCTATAGCTATCATATCCATCCATCCAGTCAACCAATCATATTTGCTGGTCTGTCTTATCTATCTACCCCCCTATAACTCTCCATCAACCTATTCAATCTATCACCTCTATCTATCTGTCTGTCTGTCTACCTACCTACCTACCTATCCATCCTACCTATCCATCTATCTATCCTATCTACCTACCTATCCATCCTATCTATCTACCTACCTATCTATCTATCCATCCTATCTATCTACCTATCATCTATCTATCTATCTATCTATCTATCTATCTATCTATCTATCTATCTATCTATCTATCTATCCATCTACCTACCTACCTCCCTACCCATCCTATCTACCTCCCTACCTACCCTATCTATCTACCTTCCTACCCATCCTATCTATCTACCCATCCCATCTATCCATCCATCATCTATCTATATATCTATCCAGCCACCCTATCTATCTATCTGTCTGTCTGCCTGCATCTGTCTGTGTCTATTTATCTAACCTACCTATCCACCCAAGCTATCTATCATCTTTCTACCTAAATCTCTCTCTATCATCTATCCATCCATCCCCCTACCCACCCAAGCTATCGATAATCTGTCTGTCTACCCACCCACCCACCTAAGCTATTATCTCTAAATATCTATCTGTCTGTCTATATCTATCTACTGTCTGTCTGCCTGCCTATATGCATCTATTTATCTAATCTACCTACCTACCTATCCACCCAAGCTATCTATCATCTATCTACCTAAATCTCTCTCTATCATCTATCCATCCATCCCCCTACCCACCCAAGCTATCTATAATCTATCTGTCTGTCTACCCACTCAAGCTATTATCTCTAAATATCTGTCTGTTTATATCTATCTACCTGTCTGTCTGCCTGCCTATATGCATGTCTGTCTGTCTATTTATCTAATCTACCTGCCTACCTATCCACCCAAGCTATCTATCATCTACCTAAATATCTCTATCTATCTATCTATCTATCTATCTATCTATCTATCTATCTATCTATCTATCTATCTATCTAATCTATCTATCTATCATCTATCCACCCACCCACCTATAATCAATCAATCAGTCTGTCTGTCTATCCATTCATTCATTCATCCATCCACTTACCCAAGCTATCTTCTACCTACCTACCTACCTATCCACCCAAGCTATCTATCATTTACCTCTCTCTCTCTCTCATCTACCCTTCTACCTATCGACCAACCTAACCAATCTACCAATTCTATCTACCTACCTGCCTGCCTGCCTGCACCTGTCTATCCATCTCATCTACCTTACACCTATCTCCCTCTTTAGACCAGGGACCCCCGGGCCGCGGCCACCAACCAGTCCGCACAAAAACCAGCAAAGCTGCACTCGCGGGACGCAGGCAGCACGCAATACCGCGCCCTCTCCGGCCCGCGGGAAAAAACCTTTCTCCACGGAAGCAGTCCCCGGCAAAGAGACCAGGAGCTAATGTAGACCTGCCGTCGTCTCTGGTGTGGAAAGAGCCTCGCCGGAGGGGCGACCCTGCGGGAACACCATACCTGTTTCCCCGTCTCTGGGAGGAGGTTCCCGTCCAGGAATCCCAGCGGGCCCGTTCCAGCTCTTCAAATTTTTGGTGGTGGTTCAGATACGTTTCATCTGACGTGTCTTCCAGCTAGAAGAGAAGGGGGTTCGGGTCAAGAGGTCGGCAATCGACTGCAGAAACGGTGGGGAGAGAAGGAGAAGGGCAAAGAGGAGAAGAAAGAAGGACTGTGGGGTCCTTGGTGCGCTCTGAGCTGGGTGGTTTCGTTGCAGACATCTCGAGACCCAACTAGGGAACATCATCAGGGCTGGAAGGAAGGAAGGAAGGAAGGAAGGAAGGAAGGAAGGAAGGAAGGAAGGAAGGAAGGAAGGAAGGAAGGAAGGGGCTGTGGGGTCCTTGGTGCTCTCTGAGCTGGGTGGTTTCGTTGCAGACATCTCGAGACCCAACTAGGGAACATCATCAGTGCTGGAAGGAAGGAAGGAAGGAAGGAAGGAAGGAAGGAAGGAAGGAAGGAAGGAAGGAAGGAAGGAAGGAAGAAAGGAAGGAAGGAAGGGAGGGGCTGTGGGGTCCTTGGTGCTCTCTGAGATGGGTGGTTTCGTTGCAGACATCTCGTGACCCAACTAGGGAACACCATCAGTGCTGGAAGGAAGGAAGGAAGGAAGGAAGGAAGGAAGGAAGGAAGGAAGGAAGGAAGGAAGGAAGGAAGGAAGGAAGGAAGGAGGAGGAAGGACTGTGGGGTCCTGGGTGCTCTCTGAGCTGGGTGGTTTCCTTGCAGACATCTCGTGACCCAACTAGGGAACATCATCAGTGCTGGAAGGAAGGAAGGAAGGAAGGAAGGAAGGAAGGAAGGAAGGAAGGAAGGAAGGGAGGGAGGGAGGGAGGGAGGGACGGACTGTGGGGTCTTTGGTGCTCTCTGAACTGGGTGGTTTCCTTGCAGACATCTCGTGACCCAACTAGGGAACATCATCAGTGCTGGAAGGAAGGAAGGAAGCAGGAGGAAGGATTGTGGGGTCCTTGGTGCTCTGAGCTAGGTGGTTTCCTTGCAGACGTCTTGTGACCCAACTAGGGAACATCATCAGTGAAGGAAGGAAGGAAGGAAGGAAGGAAGGAAGGAAGGACGGAAGGAAGGAAGGAAGGAAGGAAGGAAGGAAGGAAGGAAGGAAGGAAGGAAGGAAGGAAGAAGGGACCGTGGTGTCCTTGGTGTTCTCTGAGCTGGGTGGTTTCCTTCTGTTGCTTTGGAGAATTCCCTCCCTCCCTCCCTCCCTCCTACCCATACATATCCTTCTTGGGAGCTACACCGGGTTTTGCAGGCCCTCGTCTCGTCACCCTTTGAGCCCATTAAAATAGCTGTCCATAGGGTTTCCTGCCTGAGCAGGGGGTTGGACTATATGACCTCCAAGGTCCCTTCCAACTTTTTATTATTATTATTATTATTATTATTATTATTATTATTATTATTATCCACCTAGATCAGTGGTTCTCAACCTGTGGGTCGGGACCCCATTTGGGGTCAAACGACCATTTCACGGGGGTCGCCAAACAACGCAGTCCGCCATTTTTTTCCCCCTTTTCCTTAGCTGTGCTACTCCCTTTTATTCTATTGGCTTTTGAAAGTCAATCGAAAAGACTCTCTTGAATAGAGTCTCATTCGATTGGCTTTTAAAAGCCAATGGGAATTGTCCAGGCTGTCTCGGCCCTGCTGAGCCCGCCCAAAGTCCCATTCTGCAAACGGTGCTGCACCAGTTGAGGAGTCCTCGACTTACGACCGGTTGAGTAGTCCTCGACTTATGACCGGTTGGGGAGGGGGGGTCGCGGCATTAAAAAGGTTGAGAACCACTGCACTAGACCCTTCCTTTCTTCCCAAGGTCCGTTCGTTGTGCCATCGATCCCAGGAGGTGGGGTTACCTAATTTCCGTCGGAGCCCTTCCCACGACCTCTTCATGTTATGTTCCCGCTCAAACAAGACGTAAGTCTGAAAGGTGGCCACACGCCTCTGCTTGTGCAAGAGCACCCCAGTTTACGACGAAGGCGCGGCACGGGCGTTCTCTGCTCCTCCTACACTGGACACCGGACCCAACGGACAGGAAAAGGGAGGGAGTGGATGCTCCATCATCGTGCGGAGAAAAGGCCTTCAGGCAAGACAAACGCCCCTTCTCCAGCATGAGTGGATGGAGAATCCATGAGTGGGACAGACCAAAGCCCTGTTGTCCCTAAGGGGGTGGGGGGGAAATAGTTTGGGCCTGGGTCCCGCTGGTTGAGATTACATGTTGCCAGACCCTGCGACCACATGCGGCACCCTTCCTTCCTTCCTTCCTCTTTCCTCCCTCGTTCTTTCCTTCCTTCTTTCTTCCCTCCTTCTTCTCTTTCCTTACTTCCTCCAGTCATTCCTCCCTCCTTCTCTTCTTCCTTTTGTTCCTCTGTATTTGCTTCCTTCCTTTCCTCCCTCCCTCGTTCTTCTTTCCTTCCTTCCGTCTTTCCTTTCCCTTCTCTTCCTTCCTTCTTCCTTCCTTCCATTTTTCTTCCCTCCCTCTTCTCTTTCCTTACTTCTTCCCGTCTTTCCTCCCTCCTTCTCTTCTTCCCTTTGTTCCTCTGTATTTCCTTCCTTCCCTTCCTCGTTCTTTCCTTCCTTCCGTCTTTCCTCTCTCCCTCCTCTTCCTTCCTCCCTCCACTTTCCTTCCTTCCTCCCGTCTATCCTCCCTCCTTCTCTTCCTCTGTATTTCCTTCCTTCCTTTCCTCCCTCCCCTCCCTCGTTCTTCTTTCCTTCCTTCCTTCCGTCTTTCCTTTCTCTTCTCTTCCTTCCTTCTTCCGACTTCCTTCCTTCCATTTTTCCTCCCTCCCTCTTTCCTTACTTCTTCCCGTCTTTCCTCCCTCTTCTTCCCTTTTTTCCTCTGTATTTCCTTCCTTCCTTCCCTCCCTCGTTCTTCTTTCCTTCCTTCCGTCTTTCCTCTCTCCTTCTCTTCCTTCCTTCTTTCTTCCTTCCATTTTTCCACCTTCCACTTTCCTTCCTTCCTCCCATCTATCCTCCCTGTATTTCCTTCTTTCCTTTCCTCCCTCTCCTCCCTTGTTCTCTTCCTTCCTTCCTTCCTTCCATTTTCCCCCTCTTCTCTTTCCTTCCTTCCTCCCGTCTTTCCTCCCTCCTTCTCCTTCCCTTTGTTCCTCTGTATTTGCTTCCTTCCTTCCTCTTTCTTCCCTCCCTCCCTCCATTCCTTCCTTCTTCCTTCCTTCCTTTTCTGTGTACTCCCTCCTTTCCTTCCTCCTTCCTTCCTTCCTCCCTCCCGTCTTCCTGCAATATAGAATCAGGGCTGAAAGGGACTTTGGAAGGTCTTCTAGCCCAGCCCCCTGCTCAAACAGGAGACTCCATCCCATTTCATACACGTAACTGTCCAGTCTCTTCTCGAAAAACCTCCAGGGAATGAAGCAGGCACAACGTCTGGTGGCAAGGAGTGCCACGGATTAATTCTGCTCACTGTCGACTTAAGTGTCTCCTTCGTTCCAGGTTTGCTTCTCTCCTGGATGAGTTTCCATCGGTTGTTTCGTGCCCTGCCTTCAGGGGCTTTGGAGAAGAGCTTGACTCCCTCTGCTTTGGGGCAGCCCCTCAAAGACTTGAACGCTGCGAGTCCTTTCTTTTCATTCAACTAGACATTCCCAGTTTCTGTAACCCTTCATTGTATGACTTACTCTCCGGGAACCAGAGCTGGGAGGGACCGTGGAGGTCTTCTAGTCCAACCTCCTACTCAAATCAGGAGACCCTTATAGAATCCTAGAATGACACGAGTCGGAAAGGGACCCTAGAGGTCATCTAGTTCACCCCCTGCTCAAGCAGGAGACCCTGACAGAATCATAAAAGAACAGAGCTGGAAGGGACCTCGGAGGCCATCTAGTCCAACCCCCCCCCCGCTGAAGAGAGGCGGCTACCCCCTGGTGTGCCTGGAGATACGCCTCTTACCTGCGCGTCGGCCTCTTCTAAGATCACCAACTCTTTGGGATCCACTGTTCTCCAGCTAAGGAAGGGGGAGAAAACGAGAGGTGAAATTGGCGTTCAGGCAATGCAATTTTTCTAGAGGCCTCATAAAGCCAGAGGGGTGAAGATGAATATTTGGTATCTATCTATCCATCCATCCATCTCTATCTATCTATATCCGTATATCTATCCATCCATCCATAAGTATTTATCTCTATCTATCTATCTATCTATCTATCTATCTATCCATCTATCTATCCATCCATCCATCTATCCATCCATATCTATCCATCCATCCATCCATATCTATCTATATCTATCTATATCTATCTATCCATCCATCCATAACTATCTATCTATCCATATCTATCTATCCATCTATCCATCCATATCTATCTATCTATCTATCTATCCATCCATAAGTATTTATATCTATCTATCTATCTATCTATCTATCCATCCATCTATCCATCCATATCTATCCATCCATCCATCCATATCTATCTATCCATCCATATTTATCTATCTATATCTATCTATCTATCCATCCATCCATCCATATCTATCTATCCATCCATCCATCCGTATCTATCTATCCATAACTATCATCTATCTATCCATATCTATCTATCTATCCATATCTATCTATCCATCCATAAGTATTTATCTCTATCTATCTATCCATCCATATCTATCCATCCATCCATCCGTATCTATCTATCCATCCATATCTATCTATCTATATCTATCTATCCATCCATCCATATCTATCTATCCATTCATCCATATCTATCTATCCATAACTATCTATCATCTATCTATCCATATCTATCTATCTATCTATCCATATCTATCTATCCATCCATAAGTATTTATATCTATCTATCCATCTATCCATCCATATCTATCTATCCATCTATCCATATCTATCTATCCATCCATATCTATCTATATCTATCTATCCATCCATCCATATCTATCTATCCATCCATCCATATCTATCTATCTATCCATAACTCTCTATCATCTATCTATCCATATCTATCTATCTATCCATATCTATCCATCCGTATCTATCTATCTATCTATCTATCTATCCATATCTATCCATCCATATCTATCTATCTATCTATCTATCTATCTATCTATCTATCTATCTATCTATCTATCTATCTATCGTCAACATCTATCTCTACCACCTTATCTGTCTGTCTGTTTGTCTACCTATCTCTATCATTTCTCTCATCTCTCTCTCTCATCTTTCTATCCACCTATCCACCTATTCTTCTATCCATCCATCTATCATTTCTCTCATCTACCATTATATATCATCCCTCTCTCCTCTATCTATTTATCTCTATCGAAACCAACTTACCTCGGGGTTAAAATCTCTTTATACTGAAGTTTTTCCACCCGGGTCGCTGCGGCCATAGACATCGGAATCACGATATTGTTGATATCGTAGGAAGTCTCCACTTTTTTCTTCTTGGCGGGCTGCTCAGAGAAATTTTTTTTAAAAAAACAAAAACCCACAATCACTTTTTTAAAAAAGTAAAAAAAAAAACAAACCGTAATCATTTTTAAAAAGTTAAAAAAAAACCCAATCGTTTAAAAAAAAAGTAAAAAAGACCACAGCTTAAAAGAAAAAAACTAAAAAACCCCCCCACAATTGCTTTAAAAAAAGTAAAAAAAACCCCAATCGTTTAAAAAGTAAACAAAGGTAAAAACCCAATCGTTTAAAAAAAAATTTAAAAAAATAAAAAAAAACCCCACAATCGTTTAAAAAAAGTAAAAAAAAAAAAAAAAAGTAAAGAGAGACCACAATTGTTTAAAAACATAAAGGTTAAAAAAAAAAAAAAAGAGAGAGAGACCACTTTATGGTAGCCTTTTATCAAGCATGTCCTGTTCCGGTCTCTGACTTTGATTGATGGACAGAGGCGAGGTGGACTCCCCAGGCTGTTTTCCTTGCAGACGTTTCATGATCCAACTAGGTAACATTGTCAGTGCTGGAAGGGGGGAGGAGGAGGAAAAGGAGGAGGAGGAGAAAGGACTGTGGGGTCCCTGGTGTTCTCTGAGCTGGGTGGTTTCCTTGCAGACGTCTCATGACCCAACTAGGGAACGTCATCAGTGCTAGAAGGGGTGTGTGTGTGTGTGTGTGTGTGTGTGTGTATTCTCTGTTTACAGACCCTCCCTTCTGTGCTCAGGACCACCTTCCCGCTCACTCACCAGCGCTGAGCTGCCGGCCGTCGCGGGATGACCCGGAACATTACTGGCGGCTGGACCGGGAGAGTTTTCTAGGCACAAAGAAGGCCCCGGGTGCGAAGTGCCGGGCTTGCTGCGAGGAGGAAGATGAGGGGCGCAGAGGCGGTACCGGGCCAGTCCTTTCAGCAGAGCCCCTGGCAGAGGGAAACGGAGAGGAGAAGAGACAGGCTCGTCAATCGGGACAACACCATCATCCTCATCATCAGAATGATGAGGATGATGAATGACATTCTTCATTAAATTCCTTCGTCCGCCTTGCTTCCCTACAACTGAATCGATTCTTCACTGATCATCCTGACCGATATAAAAACCAGGATAGGGAACGCAAGGAGGGCGTCGCTAAGTCTCCCTTTAGGCCAGTGTTTCTCAACCTTGACCATTTTAAGGCATGTGGACGTCAACTCCCAGAATTCCACAGCCAGCATTGCTGGCTGTGGAATTCTGGGAGTTGACGTCCACATGCCTTAAAATGGTCAAGGTTGAGAAACACTGCTTTAGGCGAATAAAAGGCAAGGTCTCGGCTTAAACACGCTTCCTTTAGTGACCATTTACAGTTCCCAAAGGAGGGGGGGGGGGAAAGACTGCTAATGTAGATAGAAATGGCGTTTGGTTGATGATCGATATACAGATAGATACAGATAGAGAGATAGATGGATGGATATAGAGCTGATATACATGCATGATAGATATCGATAAGTATAGTTGTATGAGATAGATAGAGATAGAGATAATCTAGATGTATGATAGAGATATAGAGATGATGTTAATGCTTGATAGATATTGATAAGTATAGATGTAGGATATATAGAGGAGATAGATGATAGAAATACAGAGATGATCTAGAGATGATCTAGAGGTACGATAGATATAGAGATAGATATAGAGATGATGTAGATGCATGATAGATATTGATAAGTATAGATAGGATATGATGATAGATGTAAGATATATAGATGAAATAGATGATAGAGATGATCTAGAGATGATCTAAATGTACAATATAGAGATAGAGATGATCTAGATGTACGATAGATATAGACAGATATAGAGATGATGTTGATGCATGCTAGATATTGATATTGATAAGTATAGATGTAAGATATATAGATGAGATAGAGATCTAGAGATGATCTAGAGATAATCTAGATGTACAATAGATATAGACAGATATAGAGATGATGTTGATGCATGATAGATATTGATATTGATAAGTATAGATGTAAGATATATAGATGAGATAGAGATCTAGAGATGATCTAGAGATAATCTAGATGTACAGATATAGACAGATATAGAGATGATGTTGATGCATGATAGATATTGATATTGATAAGTATAGATGTAAGATATATAGATGAGATAGAGATCTAGAGATGATCTAGAGATAATCTAGATGTACAATATAGACAGATATAGAGATGATGTTGATGCATGATAGATATTGATATTGATAAGTATAGATGTAGGATATATAGATGAGATAGATGATAGAAATCTAGAGATGATCTAGAGATGATCTAGATGTACGATATAGAGATAGATGATGTAGATGCATGATAGATATTGATATTGATAAGTATAGATGTAAGATATATAGATGAGAGAGATCTAGACATGATCTAGATATATGATAGATATAGAGATAGATATAGAGATGATGTAGATGCATGATAGATATTGATATTGATAAGTATAGATGTAGGATATATTGATGATAGGTGATAGAGATAGATATAGAGATGATCTAGATGTACGACAGATATATAATAGAGATGATGCAGATGCATGATAGGTTGATATTGATAAGTATAGATTTAAGATAGATAGATGAGATAGATATGGAGATGATCTAGAGATGATATAGTAAGATATATAGATGAGATAGATGATATAGAGATAGAGATGATATAGAGATAATATAGATGTACGATATAGAGATGCATGATATTGATATTGAAGTATAGATGTATGATAGATGATATAGATGATAGTCATAGCTGATATAGAGATGATATAGATGCATGATAGATATTGATGTTGGTAAGTATAGATGTATGACAGATAGATAAGATATAGAGGGATAACATAGATGCATGATAGATGGACAGACAGATGAGGTTAGACAGACAACATACATATAGACAGACGTAGCATTTAGACAGACAACATAGAGAGATTAGATAAATAGAAATAGATGTAGACCAGATATAGATAGATCAGATATAGCTAGGTAGATTAGATAGAAATAGACAAATTAGAGACATAGTTTATACAGATACATACATACATATTGATTAGATAGAGATAAATATAGACAAGATATAGATGGACAGAGAGAGAGAGCGAGAGAGCGAGAGAGAGTGAGAGATGTGGAAAGAGAAAGATACATACATATTGATTAGATAGAGATAAATATAGACAAGATATAGATGGAAAGAGAGAGAGAGCGAGAGAGTGAGAGATGTGGAAAGAGAAAGAATAAGAAAGATGGAGAGAAGAGATGGAGTGACAGGAAAAGATGGACAAAGAGAAAGAGAGAGAGAGAGAGAGAGAAAAGGGGGAGAGAGAAAGATGGCAAAAGGGGGAAAAAGTTGAAGAGAAAGAGATGGAGAGAGAAAGATGGCGAGAGAATGAGAAAGAGAGAGAAAAGGGAGAGAGAGAGACGGGAAGAGAGAAAGATGGAGAGATAAAGAGAAAGGGGAGAAAAGTTGGAGAGAAAGAGATGGAAAGAAAGATGGAGAGAGAATAAGAGAGAGAAAGAGACGGAAAGAAAGATGGAGAGAAAGGGGGAGAAAAGTTAGAGAGAAAGAGATGGAAGGAGAAAGATGGAGAGAGAATGAGAGAGAAAGGGAGAGAAAAGAGAGAGAGGGGGAGAGATGGAGAGAGAAAGATGGAGAGAGAATGAGAAAGAGAGAAAAGGGAGCGAGAGAGAGATGGAAAGAGAGAAAGATGGAGAGAGAATGAGAAAGAGAGAAAAGGGAGCGAGAGAGAGATGGAAAGAGAGAAAGATGGAGAGAGAATGAGAAAGAGAGAGAAAGGGAGAAAAGATGGAGACCGAGAAAGAGAAAGACAGAGAGAGAAAGAGAAATGGAAAGAGAGAAAGATGGAGAGAGAATGAGAGAGAGAGAAAAGATGGAGACGAGAGAGAGAGAGAGAGAGAGAGAGAGAGAGAGAGAGAGATGGAAAGAGAGAAAGATGGAGAGAGAATGAGAGAGAGAGAGAGAAAAGATGGAGACCGAGAGAGAGAGAGATAGGAAAGATGGAGAGAATGAGAGAGAGAAAGGGAGAAAAGATGGAGACAGAGAGAGAGAGAGATGGAAAGAGAGAAAGATGGAGAATGAGAGAGAAAGGGAGAGAAAAGGGAGACAGGGAGAGAGAGAGAGATGGAAAGAGAGAAAGATGGAGAGAGAATGAGAAAGAGAGAGAGAAAGGGAGAGAAAAGGTGGAGACGGAGAGAGAGAGAGAGATGGAAAGAGAGAAAGATGGAGAGAGAATGAGAGAGAGAGAAAAGATGGAGACAAGGAGAGAGAGAGAGAGAGAGAGAGATGGAAAGAGAGAAAGATGGAGAATGAGCGAGAGAGAGAGAGAAAAGATGGAGACTGAGAGAGAGACCGAGAGAGAAAGAGACGGAGAGAGAGAGAACGAGAAAGGAGCCCTCTGTCTGAAGCTACGATGGGGGTGGACACTCCTTCCACGAGCCAACCCACACATACACACATAGCCTGAGCAGACTTAGCTAGCTATCATGGTTGGGGAACCCGAGAGAAGCCAGAGGAAGCCAGACCAGGATCCTCTTTCGAGCTACACCGCCCATCCGGCCCTTTTTTTCCCCATCCGTGGGCGACTTTACCTGGAGCGGCGGCAAGCGAAGGGGAGCAGACGCTGTTGGTCAGGTCTTTCAAGCGGCCGTGGGGCGGCTTCCGAGGTTTGGGTTTGGGGCTCGGCCAGTGGTCTTCTCGGAGCAAGGCCTCGATGTGCAAATGCAGGGGGTTGCCTGTGGGAGGGAGAGGAGGAAGGAGAGAGAGAGAGAGGGAGGGAGAGAGAGAGAAATAAAAAGAAAGAAAGAAAAAGAAAGAAAGAAAAGAAAAAGAGAAATAGAGAGAGAAACAGGAAAAAACAAAGAAAGAAATAGAGAGAGAAAAAGAAAGAAAGAGATGAAGAGAGAGAGGGAGAGAAAGAGAAGCGGAGAAAGAGGGAAAGAGAGAAAGAAATAGAGAGAAAAAGAAAGAAAAATAGAGAGAAATAAATAAAAAGAGAAAGAGAACGAAAGAAATAGATAAAGAAAAAGAGAGAGGGAGAGAAAGAGAGAGAAATCAATCAATCAGTAGAGCTGGAAGGGCCCTCAGAGGTCCTCTAGTCCAACCCCTTGCCCAAGCAAAAGACCCTGACAGAATCACAGAAGGGCAGAGTTGGAAGGGACCTTTGGAGGTCCTCTAGTCCAGCCCCCTGCCCAAGCAGGAGACCCTTACAGAATTAGAGTCCGAAGGGACCTTTCTCTTCCTTTCTTCTTTATTTGTTCCTTTCTCTTCCTTCCCTCCCTCCTCCCTAACTCCTGCCTTCCCCTTCTTTCTTTTTCTTTCTTTCTTTCTGTTTCTTTCTCTCTTTGTCTCCCTCTCTTCTCTCTTCTTTCTCTCCCCCCCTTTCCCTCTCCCCCTCTCTTTCTCCCTTTCCCTCTCCCGCTCTTCTTTCTCTCCCTCTCTCCCCCTTTTCTCTTTCTCTCCCTCTTCTCTTTCCCTCTCTCCTCCTCTTCTCTTTCTCTCCCTCTTCTTTCTCTTCTTTCTCTCCCTCTTCTCTTTCTCCCCTTTCCCTCTCCCCCTTTCTCTCCCCCTCTCTTCTCTTTCTCTCCCTCTTCTCTTTCCCTCTCCTCCTCTTCTCTTTCTCTTCTTTCTCTCCCTCTTCTTTCTCCCCTTTCCCTCTCCCCCTCTTCTCTTTCTCTCCCTCTTCTCTTTCTCTTCTTTCTCTCCCTCTTCTCTTTCTCCCCTTTCCCTCTCCCCCTCTTTCTCTCCCCCTCTCTTCTCTTTCTCTCCCTCTTCTCTTTCCCTCTCTCCTCCTCTCTTTCTCTCCCTCTTCTCTTTCTCTTCTTTCTCTCCCTCTTCTCTTTCTCTTCTTTCTCTCCCTCTTCTCTTTCTCCCCTTTCCCTCTCCCCCTGTTCTCTTTCTCTCCCTCTTCTCTTTCTCTTCCTTCTCTCCCTCTTCTCTTTCTCCCCTTTCCCTCTCCCCCTCTTTCTCTCCCCCTCTCTTCTCTTTCTCTCCCTCTTCTCTTTCCCTCTCTCCTCCTCTTCTCTTTCTCTTCTTTCTCCCCTTTCCCTCTCCCCCTCTTCTCTTTCTCTCCCTCTTCTCTTTCTCTTCTTTCTCTCCCTCTTCTCTTTCTCCCCTTTCCCTCTCCCCCTGTTCTCTTTCTCTCCCTCTTCTCTTTCCCTCTCTCCTCTTCTCTCCCTCTTCTCTTTCTCTTCTTTCTCTCCCTCTTCTCTTTCTCCCCTTTCCCTCTCCCCTTCTCTCCCCCTCTCTCTTCTCTCTCTCTTCTCTTTCTCTCCCTGCCTTTCTCCCCCTCTTTTCTCCCTCTCTCTTCTCTTTCTTTCCCTCTCTCTCTTTCCCTCTCCCCATTTTTTCTCTGTTACTCACTCACTCTGTCTCTCTCTCTCTCTCTCTCTCAATTTCAAAATTATGCTTGCAGGGAACTCCCCCCCCCCCGTTAAAAATGTGGATGAAGGGACCCCCAGGCCCACCTTGACTTATCACCCTTCGGTTTGTGAGCATTCACAGTTATAACGGCAACGGACAAAAAAAAAAAGGGACTCGGGACCCTTTTTGGAGGAGACCCCGGAGAGACACGGGCATCCAATTCACACGGCCTCGTCTTTGCGACCGTCGCGGGGACGCTCTCCCCCCCCCCATTCCCCGACCAGCAAAAGTCAAGGGGGGGGGGGTGGGAGGAGAGAGGGGAAAAAAAAAAGCCCGATTCGCTCAACAGGCCCCCCCCCCGGGACTAATTGAACAAGCGCGTTGGAACTTGTTGAAGCAATGACCCGAGGTTCGCTCCGTCGCTGTCAGAATGTCTCGCTCTTGGACGGGAAGGCTGGTCGGCCGGGCGAGGACGCCCTGCGCTTGGCGAGGAAGCCCTCTCCGTTCTTCCTACACACACACACACACACACACAAAAACCCCGAACGGAGGGAGCAAAGAAGCCCAAGGGAGGAGTTGGGGGGGGGGGGGAAAGGAGGCGGTGTAAACTTTACTCACCGTGCGGGAAGGAGAGGATGGGGTGGAAGCCGGCATCCAGCAGGGCGATCCGCTCCTCCAGGGACAGGGTGTCCGGGCGGAGGGCCGGGAGCGAGGCCTTGAACTCGCACAGGACGCAGGAGTTGGGCTGCTCGCAGCTGCACCTCAGGCTCAGGGGCTTGGGCGGCTGACGGGACAGAAGGAGTGAAGGGTCACTTGCATGGCTCGGAAAAGGAAATAAGGAAAGGGAAAATAAAATAAAAATAGAATAGAATAGAATAGAGTAGAAAAAGGAGAAGAGAAGAGAATACAAAAAAAAATACAAAAAGGAGAATAGAATAGAATAATGGAAGAGTAGAATAAGAATAGAATAGAATAGAATGGAATAGAATAGAACAGGGAATAGAATAGAATAGAAAAGAATAGAGGAATGATGAATAGAATAGAATAGAATAAGGAATAGAATAGAATAAGGAATAAAATAGAATAGAATAGAATAGAATAGAATAGAAAAATGGAATGGAATGGAATAGAATAGAACAGAATAGAATGGAATAGAATAGAATAAGGAATAGAATAGAATAGGGAATAGAATAGAATAGTATAGAGGAATGATGAATAGAATAGAATAGAATAGAATTAGAGTGGAATAGAATAAGAAATAGAATTAGAATAGGACAGAATAAGAAATAAGAAATAAAATAGAATTAGACTACACTAGACTAGAAAAGAATTAGAATTCGACTAGAATTAGAGTGGAATAGAATAAGAAATAAAAAACAGAATAGAATAGATAGAATATAAGTAGATACAATAGACTGAAATAGAACAGAGAATGTAGATAAAATAGAATAAAGAGTAGAAGAGAATAAAGAATAGGAGAGAAGAGAGAATAGAACAGAGTAGAATACAATAGAAAAATGAGAATAGAATAGAAAGAATAGAATAAAATATAGAACAGAAAAGAATAGAAAAAGAATAGAATACAAAAAGGAGAATAGAATAGAATACGAAATAAGAATAGAAAAAGGAGAACAGACTAAAATACAGAATATAAAAGAATAGAATAGAATAGAAAAGAATAGAAAAAGAATAGACTAAAATACAGAATAGAAAAGAATAGAAAAAGGAGAATAGAATGGAAACAGGAGAATAGAATAGAAAAGAATAGAAAAAGGAGAATAGACTAAAATACAGAATAGAAAAGAATAGAAAAAGGAGAATAGAATGGAAACAGGAGAATAGAATAGAAAAGAATAGAAAAAGGAGAATAGACTAAAATACAGAATAGAAAAGAATAGAAAAAGGAGAATAGAATGGAAACAGGAGAATAGAATAGAAAAGAATAGAATAGAAAAGAATAGAAAAAAGAGAATAGACTAAAATACAGAATAGAAAAGAATAGAAAAAGGAGAATAGAACGGAAACAGAATAGAATAGAAAAGAATAGAAAAAGGAGAATAACTAAAATACAGAATATAAAAGAATAGAATAGAAAAAGAATAGACTAAAATACAGAATAGAAAAGAATAGAAAAAGGAGAATAGAATAGAATAAGGAATAGAATAGAATAGAATAAGGAATAGAATAGAATAGAATAGAATAGAATAGGACCTGAGCGGTTGACGTTTTATTATCCAGTCCCCAACTGTGTAATCGAATTGAGGATTAAACCTTTAATAGTAATAGCAAATAATAATAGTAATAATAATAAAAATCATAATAAAAATAATGATGGTAATAATAATAGTAAATAATAACAATGATAATGATAATGATAATAATAACACCTCAACAGGTCTTAGATCCTTGCTTAGGACTTGAACTGTTTTTACCAGTCCCAGACCGATGACGTTGCCTTGTTGGGTCACGAGATGTCTGCGAAACGCCCCCTCCCCACCTCAGAGACTCTCCCGGGACACCCCCGCCCCCCCCCATTCACGCGTCCGCGCCTTCGGAGCGTTGAGGCGCTCCGACGTACCTTTCGGTTTAGGTGGGCGACGGAGTGGATTCTCACCAGCCGACGCTTCTTGTACCGGCAGATGGGACGGATCCGGGCCGCCACGCAGCTGCTGTCCAGGGCGGAGGCCACGGCGGGCAGGCTGTGATTGGCTGGCGCGGGTCTCTTGAGGTGCCGGTCGGGGGCCGAGCCTTCCGGAGGGCTGCCGCCGCCGGAGGTAACGGCGCTCAAGCTGCACGGGGGGGGGAGGAGGGAGGGTCAAAGAGAAGAAAAGCCGTCCCGCTGAGAGACGGACCGGACGGCTCGGGAGGGACGTCGTGGCGTGGGAAAAAGAAGGCAATCGCCAAGCAGCAAGTAGCGCGACTCTGGGACCGCTCCAAAGTTGGGACAGCATGACAGGAATCAGAGAGTGGGAAGGGACCCGGGAGGTCGTCTAGTCCGGCCCCCTGCTCAAGCAGGAGACCCTGACGGAACTGTAGATTGACCAGAGTGGGAAGGGACCTCGGAGGTCATCTAGTCCAGCCCCCTGCTCAAGCAAGATACCCTGACGGAATTGTAGATTGACCAGAGTGGGAAGGGACCTCGGAGGTCGTCTAGTCCGGCCCTCTGCTCAAGTAGGAGACCCTGACAGAATTGTAGATTGACAAGAGTGGGAAGGGACCTCGGAGGTCGTCTAGTCCGGCCCCCTGCTCAAGTAGGAGACCCTGACAGAATTGTAGATTGACAAGAGTGGGAAGGGACCTCGGAGGTCATCTATTCCAGCCCTCTGCTCAAGCAGGAGACCCTTAACACAGAGTTGGAGGGGACTTTGGAGGTCATCTAGTCCAGCCCCTTGCTCAAGCAGGAGATCCTGACAGAATTATGAATCGCAGAGTTGGAAGGGACCTCAGAGGGCATCTAGTCCAGCCCCCTGGCTCAAGCAGGAAACCCTATAGCTTGTGGGTGCTCCATCATTGGAGGATTTTTAAGAAGAGGTTAGACAGCCCTTCATCGGTGATGAGAGGGTCTCCCCTCCTGAGCAGGGGGTTGGACTAGATGACCTCCCAGGTCCCTTCTAGCTCTGTAAAAGGAGGTCTCCTCCTTGAGGAGGTGGCTAGGCTACAGTAGATGGCCTCCAGGACCCTTTCCAAATTGTTCGTAGTTGGAAGGGACCTGGGAGGTCATCTAGTCTGACCCCCTGCTCGAGCAGGTGACCCTGACAGAATCGTAGAATGACAGAGTCGGAAGGGACTTTCAAGGTCATCTAGCCCAACCCCTTGCTCAACCGGGAGACCATTATAGATCATAGAAAGACAGAGTCGGAAGGGACCTTCAAGGTCATCTAGCCCAACCCCTTGCTCAACCGGGAGACCATTGTAGAATCATAGAAAGACAGAGTCGGAAGGGACCTTCAAGGTCATCTAGCCCAACCCCTTGCTCAACCGGGAGACCATTATAGAATCACAGAAAGACAGTCGGGAGGGACCTCGGAGGTCATCCAGTCCAACCCCCCTGCTCTAGCAGGAGACCCTGACAGAATCGCGAGAGGGGAGACTACACTCACCAGTTGCTTATCCCGTTGACTTGATGGGGGGTTGTGCAGGTTTTGGGGGGCTCCGGCGAGCCGTTGATGGGGGCGCAGGAGGGGTTCTGACAGACCAGGTTCCTCAAGGACTGGGCGAGGTGAGAATTCTAGGTTGGGGGGGGGGGGGGAGGAAAGAAAAGAAAAATGCAAAACGTTTGAGAAAAGTGTTTTTCTTGTTTCTTCTTTTCTTTCCCAGCAGTTCTAAAGCCGGAGGAGCATCTTGAAAGCCGGATTGTGGTTTTCCTCCTAATTCTGCCATAAACACATGATGGCTGGGGGATTCTGGGAGTGGAAGTCCTCCCCTCTTAAAGCATGCCGGCTGGGGGATTCTGGGAGTCGAAGTCTTCCCCCTCTTAAAGCATGGAGGCTGGGGGATTCTGGGAGTCGAAGTCTTCCCCTCTTAAAGCATGGAGGCTGGGGAATTCTGGGAGTCAAAGTCCTCCCCTCTTAAAGCATGGAGGCTGGGGAATTCTGGGAGTCAACGTCCTCCCCCTCTTAAAGCATGGAGGCTGGGGGATTCTGGGAGTGGAAGTCCTCCCCTCTTAAAGCATGCTGGCTGGGGGATTCTGGGAGTGGAAGTCCTCCCCCTCTTAGAGCATGGAGGCTGGGGGATTCTGGGAGTGGAAGTCCTCCCCTCTTAAAGCATGGAGGCTGGGGGATTCTGGGAGTCAAAGTCCCCCCCTCTGAAAGCATGCTGGCTGGGGGATTCTGGGAATTGAAGTCCCCCCTCTTAAAGTATGCCGGCTGGGGGATACTGGGAGGTGAAGCCCACCCCTCTTAAAGCAAGCTGGCTGGGGGATTCTGGGAGTTGAGGTCCATCCCTCTTAAAGCAGGACAGCTGGGGGATTCTGGGAGTCGAAGTCTTCCCCTCTTAAAGCATGGAGGCTGGGGGATTCTGGGAGTCAACGTCCTCCCCCTCTTAAAGCATGGAGGCTGGGGGATTCTGGGAGTGAAAGTCATCCCCCTCTTAGAGCATGGAGGCTGGGGGATTCTGGGAGTGGAAGTCCTCCCCTCTTAAAGCATGGAGGCTGGGGGATTCTGGGAGTCAAAGTCCCCCCCTCTGAAAGCATGCTGGCTGGGGGATTCTGGGAATTGAAGTCCCCCCTTTTAAAGTATGCCGGCTGGGGGATACTGGGAGGTGAAGCCCACCCCTTAAAGCAAGCTGGCTGGGGGATTCTGGGAGTTGAGGTCCATCCCTCTTAAAGCAGGACAGCTGGGGGATTCTGGGAGTCAAAGTCTTCCCCTCTTAAAGTATGCCGGCTAGGGAATACTGGGAGGTGAAGCCCACCCCTCTTAAAGCAAGCTGGCTGGGGGATTCTGGGAGTGGAAGTCCGCTCTCCCTCCACCTTTTCCAGCAGCTCGATCCAAACCAGAGCTTCAAAGGCCACCTTTTTTTTTTTTCCCCAGGAATTCCCTTTCCGAGCGGTCGCATCCGCCCAGCGACTCACCTGTTTATCTGCGTTTTGCAGGAGGTAAGAAGGGATGCAGGGCGAAACGCCGCCGGGCGCCACCTTGAGGTGAGGGGAGGAGGGAGGCAGGGCCGGGTTCCTCCTGGAGTTCATCAGCGTGGCCGGCGGGGCGCCCAGGCGCCCGGTCGGTTTCAGCCCATCGTCCGGCTGGAGGTTGCCCAGGATGACTGGGCCCTTGGGGGGGGGGCGAAAGGGGGGGGGAAGTAAAGAATTATCCGAAAAAGATATATATGTTGAGACTCTAGAAAGCGTGCAGAGAAGAGCAACAAAGATGATTAGGGGACTGGAGGCGGAAACATATAAGGAACGGCTGCTGGAATTGGGGATTCGTCTAGCTCAGTGGTTCCTAACCTTTTTAATGCTGCGACCCCCCAACCGGTCGTAAGCCGAGGACTACTCAACCGGTCGTAAGTCGAGGACTACTCGACTGGTGCAGCATCGTTTGCAGAATGGGACTTTGGGCGGGCTCAGCAGGGCAGAGACAGCCTGGGCAATTCCTATTGGCTTTGGAAAGCCAATAGAATTAGACTCTATTCAAGAGAGTCTCTTCCATTGGCTTTCAAAAGCCAATAGAATAAAAGGGAGGAGCACAGCTAAGGAAAAGGAAACAGGACAGGCGCCTTCCAGTATCTCAGTTTCAGCACGTGACCATGATTTTTTTCATCGCTGAGTGTGAAAAATGGTTAGGAGCCCCTCGTTCCGAGGCCGTCGTGACTTCAAACGGTCCCTAAGCGGACCTGTGTTCCAATCTATCGCTCTCCCCCCCCCGGGCGCATACAAAGGTAGCCGATGGGAAGAAAAGAATTGAACTGCCCCCCCCCACCTTGTTGGCCCTTAGCTGCTTGTAAACGTCGGTCTGCTGCCTGATCCGATACTCCAGGTCCAAAACCTGAGCCTGGAGCCACGTCCAGCGACAGATGATGGCCGCTCGCTCCAGGGCCCATTGGCGCTGCGCCAGCCGTCGCCTGAAACGGAAGCATCGCCACAGCGGGGTTAGGCTCTTACTCGCACCTCAGGGCATCGGAGACACAATAGTTGATAGAGATGATAAGATAGATAGATAGATAGATATAAATAGATAGATGAGATAGATAGATAGATGATATAGATTAGATAGATAGATGATATAGATAGATGATATAGATAGATGAGATAGATAGATTAGATAGATTACATAGATATAGATAGATGGTATAGATAGATAGATAGATAGATAGATAGATAGATAGATAGATAGATGATATAAATAGATAGATATAGATAGATGATATAGATAGATATAGATAGATAGATGATGGATGGATACATAGATATAGTCAGAGAGAAAGAGAGGATAGATAGATAGATGATATAGATAGATGATGGATGGATAGATAGATATAGTCAGAGAGAAAGAGAATAGATGATATAAATAGATAGATGATATAGATAGATGATATAGATAGATGAGATAGATAGATTAGATAGATTACATAGATATAGATAGATGGTATAGATAGATAGATAGATATAAATAGATAGATATAGATAGATGATATAGATAGATATAGATGATGGATGGATACATAGATATAGTCAGAGAGAAAGAGAGGATAGATAGATAGATGATATAGATAGATGATGGATAGATAGATATAGTCAGAGAGAAAGAGAATAGATGATATAAATAGATAGATGATATAGATAGATGATATAGATAGATTAGATAGATTACATAGATATAGATAGATGGTATAGATAGATAGATAGATAGATGATATAAATAGATAGATATAGATAGATGATATAGATAGATATAGATAGATAGATGATGGATGGATACATAGATATAGTCAGAGAGAAAGAGAGGATAGATAGATAGATGATATAGATAGATGATGGATGGATAGATATAGTCAGAGAGAAAGAGAATAGATGATATAAATAGATGAGATAGATAGATAGGATAGATAGATGATATAGATAGATAGATGGATAGATATAGTCAGAGAGAGAAAGAGAGCATAGATAGATGATATAGATAGATAGATAGATAGATAGATAGATAGATAGATAGATAGATAAGATAGATGATGGATGGATAGATAGGTAGATATAGTCAGAGAGAAAGAAAGAATAGATAGATATAGATAGATTAGATAGATAGATGATATAGACAGATAGATTAGATAGATATAGTGAGAGAGAAAGAGAGAATAGATAGATAATATAGATAGATGATATAGATAGATAGATGATATAAATAGATAGATAGATAGATAGATAGATAGATAGATAGATAGATAGATAGATAGATAGATGATGGATGGATAGATAGATATAGTCAGAGAGAGAGAGAGAATAGATAGATAGATTGATTTTGATAGATATATAGATACATATAGATAATATGGATAGAAAAATACTTTCACAGTCCTCAACTTGAGACAACGGTTCGCACAGCCAGCCGGCATACTTTAAAACAGGGGTGCCCAAACCCCCCCAGTTTGTGGACCGGGACGTGGCCTGCCAGCAAGCGGTGTGCACGCACACAGACACACAAGCCAAGTTCCCATCCGTGGGATGCAGGCAGCGCTCTCTCTCTCTCCCCCCCCCCCGCGGTCCGTGGGGGGGGGAACACCTTTCTCCCCGGTGCCTCAAAAGGTTGGAGACCAGAATTCCACAGGGATTCTCCTTCCCTTCACACGTGTCCACAGGTCAGGCTCCGTTCCCACGTTATCTCCCCAGCTCAGGTCCCTTTCACACATGTAGACACGTCAGGCTGCAGTCACCCGCTTATATCCCCAGCCCAGGCTCTATTCCCACCTCTACACAGGCCGGGCTCCACTCACACGCATATATGCCCATCTCAGGCTCCGTTCACACAGGTACACTGCTCGGGCTCTACTCCTAGGTGCATCCACCCGTCTCAGGCTCCCTTCACACGTGCAAGCATCTCCGGCTCCCTTCTCCTGCATCTATCCCCGGCTCAGGCTCCCTTCACACGTGTACACAGGTCAGGCTCCCTTCACCCATGTCGCTCTATATCAGGGTCCCTTCACACGTGTACACAGGTCAGGCTCCCTTCGCACACGCACGCCCCCATCTCAGGCTCCACTCGCACGCATATAACCCCAGGTCACACTCCATTCACACATGTACACAGGTCAGGCTCCCTTCACCCATGTCCCTCTATATCAGGCTCCATTCACACGTCTCCACAGGTCAGGCTCCACTCCGCCATGTACTTCTATTCACACCTGTACACAGGTCAGGCTCCATTCCCACGTCTCCACACCCAGGTCAGGCTCCACTCCCTCATGTACCTCTATATCAGGCTCCATTCACACGTGTCCACAGGTCAGACTCCTTTCACCCATGTCCCTTATATCAGGCTCCATTCACACGTGTACACAGGTCGGGCTCCACTCACACGCATATATGCCCAGCTCAGGCTCCATTCACATCTGTACACAGGTCAGGCTCCACTGACCCGTGTCCCTCTATATCAGGCTCCATTCACACGTGTACACAGGTCGGGCTCCACTTATAGGTGAACCCACCCATCTTAAGACTCCCTTCACACGTGCAAGCATCTCAGGCTCCACTCGCACGCATGTATGCCCAGCTCAGGCTCCATTCACATGTGCAAGCAGCTCAGGCTGCCTTCTCGTGCATATATCCCCAGATCAGGCTCCATTCACACGTGTCCACAGGTCAGGCTCCACTTATAGGTGCACCCACCCATCTCAGGCTCCCTTCACACGTGCAAGCAGGCTCCCTCCTCATGCATCTATCCCCAGCTCAGGCTCCCTTCACACGTGTACACAGGTCAGGCTCCCTTCACACACGCACAGCCCCATCTCAGGCTCCACTCACACGCATATAACCCCAGGTCACGCTCCATTCACACATGTACACAGGTCAGGCCCCATTTCCCCGTGTACGTGTATATCTGGCTCCCTTCGCACGTGTGCACAGGTCAGGCTCCACTCCATGTCCCTCTATATCAGGGTCCCTTCACACGTGTACACAGGTCAGGCTCCCTCCACACACGCACACCCATCTCAGGCTCCACTTGCACGCATATAACCCCAGGTCACGCTCCATTCACACATGTACGCAGGTCAGGCTCCACTCACACATCTCCACGCCCATCTCAGGCTCCCCTCCCTCACGTGCCTCTGTATCCGGGTCCATTCACATGTGTCCACAGGTCAGGCTCCACTCACACGCATATGTGCCCAACTCGGGTTCCATTCACACATGTCCACAGGTCAGGCTCTACTTTTAGGTGCACCCACCCATCTCAGGCTCCATTCACACGTGTACGCAGGTCAGGCTCCACTGACCCATGTCTCTCTATATCAGGCTCCATTCACACGTGTCCCACAGGTCAGGCTCCCTTCAGCCGTGTCCCTCTATATCAGGCCCCATTCACATGCATCTATCCCCAGCTCAGGCTCCATTCCCACGTGCATGCAGGTCAGGCTCCCTTCACCCATGTACCTCTGTATCAGGCCCCATTCACACGTCTACACAGGTCAGGCTCCCTTCACATGCATATATCCTCAGCTCAGGCTCCATTCACACATATGCACAGATCAGGCTCCATTCCCGCGTCTCCACACCCAGGTCAAGCTCCCCTCCCTCACATGCCTCTGTATCCGGCTTCATTCACACGTGCAAACCCATCTCAGGCTCCAATCGCACGCATATAACCCCAGGTCACGCTCCATTCCTACATTTACACAGGTCAGCCCCCCCCCCCTTGCCCATGTACGTGTATATCAGGCTCCATTCGCACGTTTACACAGCTCAGGCTCCACTCACACGCATTAAGTACCCAGCTCAGGCTCCCTTCTCATGCATCTATCCCCAGCTAGGCTCCCTTCACACGTGCAAACATCCCAGGCTCCATTCACACGTGTCCACAGGTCAGGCTCCCTTCACCCATGTCCCTCTATATCAGGCTCCATTCACACGTGTACACAGGTCGGGCTCCACTTATAGGTGCATCCACCCATCTTAGACTCCCTTCACACGTGCAAGCATCTCAGGCTCCCTTCAGACAGGCAAGCAGCTCAGGCTCCCTTCTCATGCATCTATCCCCAGATCAGGCTGCATTCACACGTGTCCACAGGTCAGGCTCCACTGACCCCCGTCCCTCTATATCAGGCCCCATTCACATGGGTCCACAGGTCAGGCTGCCTTTACCCATGTACTTCTATTCATACCTGTACACAAGTCAGGCTCCATTCTCACATCTCCATACCCAGGTCAGGCTCCACTCCCTCATATACCTCTAGATCAGGCTCCATTCACACACTGTCCACGGGTCAGGCCCCACTCACATGCATATATATCCTCAGCTCAGGCTCCCTTCACACGTCTCCACACCAGGCTCCCCTCCCTCACGTGCCTCTGTATCCGGCTCCATTCACACGTGTACACAACTCAGGCTCCCTTCACACATGCAAGCATCTCAGGCTCCACTCACACGCATCTATGCCCAGCTCAGGCTCCATTCACACATGCAAGCATCTCAGGCTCCCTTCTCATGCATCTATCTCCAGCTCAGGCTTCATTCAGACGTGTCCACAGGTCAGGCTCCACTCACACGCATCTGTGCCCATCTCAGGTTCCATTCACACGTGTCCACAGGTCAGGCTCCACTCACACGCATCTGTGCCCATCTCAGGCTCCATTCACACGTGTCCACAGGTCAGGCTCCACTCACACGCATCTGTGCCCATCTCAGGCTCCCCTCCCTCACGTGCCTCTGTGTCCGGCCCCCTTCACACGTGCAAGCATCTCAGGCTCCACACACGTATCTGAGCCCAGCTCAGGCTCCCTTCACACGTGTCCACAGCTCAGCCCCCCCCATCTCTACCCCCCCAGGCGAAGACACTCACCCCACCCGGGAGCTGCACTGAGGCCGGGGGTCCGGCTGGGGAGCCTCACTGTCGGAGGAGGAAGAAGAGGAGGAGTTTTCAGGCTCTATTCACATGCGTGTACACAGGTCATGCTCCACTGACCCGTCTCCCTCTGTATCAGGCTCCATTCACACGTGTCCACCCCTGTCCCTCTATATCAGGCTCCATTCACACGTGTACACAGGTTGGGGCCCACTTATAGGTGCATCCACCCAGCTCAGGCTCCCTTCACATGTGCAAGCATCTCAGGCTCCACTCGCACGCATCTATCCCCAGGTCAGGCTCTATTCACACGTGTCCACAGGTCAGGCTCCACTGAGCCCTGTCCCTCTGTATCAGGCTCCCTTCACACGTGTATACAGGTCAGGCTCCACTTATAGGTGCACCCACCCATCTCAGGCTCCCTTCACACGTGCAAGCAGCTCAGGCTCTCTTCTCATGCATCTATCCCCAGCTCAGGCTCCCTTCACACGTGTACACAACTCAGGCACCCTTCACATGTGCAAGCATCTCAGGCTCCACTCCCACGCATCTGTGCCCAGCTCAGGCTCCCTTCACACGTGTCCACAGCTCAGGCACCCCCCTCCCACGTCTCTCCCCTCCCCGGCTGGGGAGCCTCGCTGTCAGAGGAGGAGGAAGAGGAGGAGTTCCACAGCTCAGGCCCTATTCACATGAATGTATACAGGTCAGGCTCCACTGACCCGGGTCCCTCTGTATCAGGCTCCCTTCACACATGTACACAGGTCAGGCCCACTTATAGGTGCATCCACCCATCTCAGGCTCCCTTCACACGTGCAAGCATCTCCGGCTCCACACACGCATCTGAGCCCAGCTCAGGCTCCCTTCACACGTGTCCACAGCTCAGCCCTCCCCCCACATTTCTACCCCTCCAGGCGAAGACACTCACCCCACCCGGGAGCTGCGCTGAGGCCGGGGGTCCGGCTGGGGAGCCTCGCTGTCGGAGGAGGAGTTCCACAGGTCAGGCTCTATTCACATGCGTTAAACAGGTCAGGCTCCACTGACCCGTGTCCCTCTATATCAGGCTCCATTCACACGTGTCCACAGGTCAGGCTCCACTTATAGGTGCACCCACCCATCTCAGGCTCCCTTCACACGTGCAAGCAGCTCAGGCTCCACTCACAAGCACCTATGCCCAGCTCAGGCTCCCTTCACACATGCAAGCATCTCAGGCTCCCTTCACACAGATCTATGCCCAGCTCAGGCTCCCTTCACACGTGCAAGCATCTCAGGCTCCCTTCTCATGCATCTATCCCCAGCTCAGGCTGCATTCAGACGTGTCCACAGGTCAGGCTCCACTGACCCCCGTGCCTCTATATCAGGCTCCATTCACACGTGTCCACAGGTCAGGCTCCACTCACACGCATGTATGCCCAGCTCAGGCTCCCTTCACACGTGCAAGCATCTCAGGCTCCCTTCTCATGCATCTATCCCCAGCTCAGGCTCCCTTCACACGTGCAAGCATCTCAGGCTCCCTTCACAGGCATCTCTCCCCAGCTCAGGCTCTATTCACACATGTCCACACGTCAGGCTCCACTGAGCCCTGTCCCTCTGTATCAGGCTCCATTCACACGTGTACACAGGTCAGGCCCACTTATAGGTGCACCCACCCATCTCAGGCTCCCTTCACACGTGCAAGCATCTCAGGCTCCCTTCTCCTGCATCTATCCCCAGCTCAGGCTCCATTCACACGTTTACACAGGTAAGGCCCACTTATAGGTGCACCCACCCATCTCAGGCTCCCTTCACACGTGCAAACATCTCCGGCTCCCTCCTCATGCATCTATACCCGGCTCAGGCTCCATTCACACATGTCCACAGGTCAGGCTCCACTGAGCCCTGTCCCTCTGTATCAGGCTCCCTTCACACGTGTCCCCAGGTCAGGCTCCACTTATAGGTGCACCCACCCATCTCAGGCTCCCTTCACACGTGCAAGCATCTCAGGCTCCCTTCTCCTGCATCTATCCCCAGCTCAGGCTCCCTTCACACGTGTACACAGGTCAGGCTCCACTTATAGGTCCACCCACCCATCTCAGGCTCCCTTCACACGTGCAAGCATCTCAGGCTCCCTCCTCATGCATCTATCCCCAGCTCAGGCTCCATTCACACGTGTACACAGGTCAGGCTCCACTTATAGGTCCACCCACCCATCTCAGGCTCCCTTCACACGTGCAAGCGTCTCAGGCTCCACACACGCATCTCTCCCCAGCTCAGGCTGCCTTCACACGTGTCCACAGGTCAGGGCCACTTATAGGTGCACCCTTCACACGTGCAAGCATCTCAGGCTCCACACACGCATCTATGCCCACCTCAGGCTCCCTTCACACGTGTCCACAGCTCAGCCCCCCTCCTCCCACGTCTCTCCCCCCCTCCAGGCCAAGACACTCACCCCACCCGGGAGCTGCGCTGAGGCCGGGCGCCCGGCTGGGGAGCCTCGCTGTCGGAGGAGGAGGAGGAGGAGGAGGAGGAGGAGGAGGAGAAGGAGGAAGAGGAGGAGTTCCACAGCTCAGGCTCTATTCACTCGTTACACAGGTCAGGCTCCATTGACCCATGTCCCTCTGTATCAGGCTCCATTCACACATGTCCACAGGTCCGGCTCCACTTATAGGTGCACCTACCCATCTCAGGCTCCCTTCACAAGCATCTATCCCCAGCTCAGGCTCCCTTCACACGTGTACACAGGTCAGGCTCCCTTCACACGCATCTCTCCCCAGCTCAGGCTCCATTCACACGTGTACACAGGTCAGGCCCACTTATAAGTGCACCCACCCAGCTCAGGCTCCCTTCACACGTGCAAGCATCTCAGGCTCCCTTCTCCTGCATCTCTCCCCAGTTCAGGCTCCCTTCACACGCATCTCTCCCCAGCTCAGGCTCCCTTCACACGTGTCCACAGGTCAGGCCCACTTATCGGTGCACCCACCCATCTCAGGCTCCCTTCACACGTGCAAGCATCTCAGGCTCCCTTCTCCTGCATCTCTCCCCAGCTCAGGCTCCCTTCACACGCATCTCTCCCCAGCCTAGGCTCCCTTCACACGTGTCCACAGGTCAGGCCCACTTATCGGTGCACCCACCCATCTCAGGCTCCCTTCACACGTGCAAGCATCTCAGGCTCCCTTCTCCTGCATCTCTCCCCAGCTCAGGCTCCCTTCACACGCATCTCTCCCCAGCCAGGCTCCCTTCACACGTGTCCACAGGTCAGGCCCACTTATCGGTGCACCCACCCAGCTCAGGCTCCCTTCACACGTGCAAGCATCTCAGGCTCCCTTCTCCTGCATCTCTCCCCAGCTCAGGCTCCCTTCACACATCTCTCCCCAGCTCAGGCTCCCTTCACCACAGGTCAGGCCCACTTATCGGTGCACCCACCCATCTCAGGCTCCCTTCACACGTGCAAGCATCTCAGGCTCCCTTCTCCTGCATCTCTCCCCAGCTCAGGCTCCCTTCACACGCATCTCTCCCCAGCCTAGGCTCCCTTCACACGTGTCCACAGGTCAGGCCCACTTATCGGTGCACCCACCCAGCTCAGGCTCCCTTCACACGTGCAAGCATCTCAGGCTCCCTTCTCCTGCATCTCTCCCCAGCTCAGGCTCCCTTCACACGCATCTCTCCCCAGCCTAGGCTCCCTTCACACGTGTCCACAGGTCAGGCCCACTTATCGGTGCACCCACCCAGCTCAGGCTCCCTTCACACGTGCAAGCATCTCAGGCTCCCTTCTCCTGCATCTCTCCCCAGCTCAGGCTCCCTTCACACGCATCTCTCCCCAGCTCAGGCTCCCTTCACACGTGTCCACAGGTCAGGCCCACTTATCGATACACCCACCCAGCTCAGGCTCCCTTCACACGTGCAAGCATCTCAGGCTCCCTTCTCCTGCATCTATCCCCAGCTCAGGCTCCCTTCACACGCATCTCTCCCCAGCTCAGGCTCCCTTCACACGTGTCCACAGGTCAGGCCCACTTATCGGTGCACCCACCCAGCTCAGGCTCCCTTCACACGTGCAAGCATCTCAGGCTCCCTTCTCCTGCATCTATCCCCAGCTCAGGCTCCCTTCACACGTGTCCACAGCTCAGCCCCCCCCCCCAGGCCAAGACACTCACCCCACCCGGGAGCTGCGCTGAGGCCGGGCGCCCGGCTGGGGAGCCTCGCTGTCGGACGAGGAGGCGGACGACGACGAGGAGGAGTTGCCCAGCGAGGAGCCCGACGAAGAGGAGGCCGACGAGGAGGCGGCGGAGGCGGAGGAGGAAGCGGCCGAGGAGGCGCTCTCGGTGGCGTCCGAGTCGCAGCCCCGCTGGGCGGCGCGGAGGCGGGCCGAGGCGCCGGCCGCCAAACGCCTCAGCTCGGGCCCGCCGCTCCGACCAGGCCGCGGCGTCGGGCTCGTCCGCCCGCCCAGCCCGCCCAGCTGCTGCCGGACGTGCCGCTCCACCTGGCGGGCCTGCAAAGCCCGGAGGCGGCGGCAGAGGCTCCGAGCCCGGCTCCACAGGGCGGCTTGGCGGGCTCGGGCGGCCGCTCGGCCCCGGCGGAGCTTCGCCTCAGCCGCCTCAGCCGCCGCCATTGCGGTGGCGCCAAAATTTCCCCTCAGGGCGGGCCGGGACTCTCCATGGCCGGGCTGGGCGCGCGGGACAATGCCAGGCAGGCCCCGGGCGGCAGCGCGCATGCGCCGCGCCAGCCTGAAGGCGCTGGACGCCGACGGAGACACGCCCGAGCGGGGGGATGGGGGAAGTGGAAGAAACCCAATTTAAAAAAAAAAAAAAAAAAAGAGGTGCGGAACTGCGCCTGCGCTCGAGGCTCGGGGCCGCGCCCGGCTTGGGAGACGCCCCGCCCGGGCTTTTGCGCAGGCTGACAAGCTTCGGGCTCGGTCGGAGGCTTCGCTCGGGCGGCTGCGCATGCGCGCGAAGGGGGAAAAGAGCCCGGATGTTACTTTTTTTTTTTCTTCAAACTTGGCCCTTCGAGGACTGGCGGACTGCAACTCCCGCCAAGTCGTGACTTGGCGTTGCCCGGCGGAGGAATTCTGGGAGTTGAAGTCCTTCAGTCATCAAAGGGACAAGTTGGAAAGACCCCTGTAAATTTAAAGCGTCCTGGCTGAGGAATTCTGGGAGTTGAAGTCCTCCAGTCATCAAAGGGCCAAGGTTGAAGACCCCTGTCTTAAACCGTCCTGGCTGAGGAATTCTGGGAGTTGAAGTCCTCCAGTTATCAAAGGGCAAAGTTGAACACCCCTGTCTTAAAGTGTCCTGGCTGAGGAATTCTGGGAGTTGAAGTCCTCCAGTCATCAAAGGGCCAAGTTGGAAAGACCCCCTATAAATTTAAAGCGTCCTGGTTGAGGAATTCTGGGAGTTGAAGTCCTCCAGTCATCAAAGGGCCAAGGTTGAAGACCCCTGTCTTTAAAGCGTCCTGGCTGAGGAATTCTGGGAGTTGAAGTCCACCAGTCATCAAAGGGACAAGTAGGAAAGACCTCTATAAATTTAAAGCGTCCTAGCTGAGGAATTCTGGGAGTTGAAGTCCACCATTCATACAAGGGCCATGTTTGAAGACTCCTGTCTTAAAGCATCCCAGCTGAGGAATTCTGGGACTTGAAGTCCCCCCAGTCATCAAAGGGACAAGTTGAAAGACCCCTATAAATTTAAAGAATCCCGGCTGAGGAATTCTGGGAGTTGAAGTCCCATAAGCCACAAAAGAGCCCAGTTTGAAGAGCTCCATCTTAAAGCATCCCGGCTGAGGAATTCTGGGAATTGAAGTCCACCGGTCATAAAAGGGCCATGTTTGAAGACCCCTGTCTTAGAGCATCCTGGCTGAGGAATTCTGGGAGTTGAAGTCCTCGCCGCAGTCCTCGACTTAACAGCGGTTCGTTTAGCGACCGAAGGTAGAACAGCACGGGAAAAAGCTGACGGGTTTTCAGCCTTAGCGACCATCGTTGCGGCATTCGACACGGTCCCGTGATCAAACTCCGACCGCTTGGCAACTTTTTCGTATTTACGACAGTCTCGGCCTCCCGGGAGGCCGCGGGATTCCCCCTTTGCGACCGTCCAACCAGCAAAGTCAACATCGGGAGCCCAATTCACTTAACGACCATGCTCTTAGCTTAACAACTGCCGCGATTTGCTTCAACAACCGGAGCCAGAAAAGTCCTAAACTGAGGCAAAACTCACTTCACGGAGTCTGGACTCCATGGTCGTAACCCGAGGACTAGCAGGATGGACGTTAAATCTCTGCGTTCCACTCGTGACCGTTTGCAAAAATGATACGCGTCGTCCTCGCGTTACGACCACATTTCCGTGGTTAAGTGAGGCATTGGTTCAGGGAGCTTTGCCCCCGTTTAGGACGTTGGCTTGCCACGGTCGTTAAATGAATCGCTGCGGTTGATATGTTAGTTGTTAAATGAAGCCAGCATCCCTGTCAACTAATCGGAAGGTCGCAAAAGGGGATTTGGGGGATCCAGGGGCTCTGTGACCGTCATAAATAGGAGTCCGTTGCCAAGCGTCCAAATTTTCATCGCAAAACCATGGGGATGCCACAACAGTCATTAAGGGCGAAAAACAGTCCCACGTCACTCTTTCCGGTGCCGTTATGACTTTGAACAGTCGCTAAATGAAGCGTTAAGTCAAGGACTATCGGCAGCCAGCTCTGCACTGAGAGTCACGATCGGAGCTGCTGCCCATTTGCAAAAAAAAAAAAAAAAATGATCTAAACTGTATACAGCCGGTCCTCGGTCGTTAAGCAAAATCTTTGTTCAGGGAATTTCGCCCATTTCCCGAACTTTCTTTCTGCGGCTGTTCAGCGGATCCCTGTGGCTGTTAAGTTTGTACAGGCAGTCCTCGACTTATGATCGCAACCGAGCGCAAAAAATATATCACTAAGCGAGACCTTTGTTCGGTGAGTTTTGCTCCATTGTACGACTTTTCTTGCTGCGGTTCTTCAGTGAGTCACACGGTTGTTAAGCGAATCTGGTTTGCGTGTCAAAAGGGGGAAATCATGTGCCCGTCATAAATGCGAGTCCCTTGCCAAGCGTCCAAATTTTGGATACTGCAATGGTAAGAGTGAAAAAAACAATCCGAAGTCCCTTTTTCCCATCTCCTTGTAACTTTGGACTGCCTGTTGTCCAAAAAGTAGACTTCTCCTGGGCTGCAATACTCCATCTTGTCCTGTAGGGAGCAGTATGATTTAATGTTGTTTGCTTCTTGCTGCCATCTAGTGGTGACTCTAATTGTTTGCATCTCAGATCCGCCGCTTTTTAAGAACCTGGACAATCTTTTCTATCTTAAAAACAAGCCACATAAGTAAAGTGGCGACACCTCCGTCATTCGCACACACACACACCAACTATTCTAGCTAGAAGGTGTATGCACGCAGTCCTCGACGTACAACGATTCGTCTGGCGACCGTTCAAATTTACAACGGCAGCAAAAAAAAAAAAAAAAAAAGGAAGGCATTTGCCTTCTCTTTCGCACTTACAACTCTCCCGATAACGGGATCAAACTTCCGACGCTTGGCAACCGATTGGTATTTACAACAGTCACCGCGTCTGGGTGACCTTCCGATGAGCACAGTCAAGGGAGGGGGGACTCCAGATTCACTTAACAATCGTGTGGCTAGCTTAACGACGACGGCGCTTCGACGTCACAACCGGGTCCCCAAGTTAACAACCGTCGGGATTCTCTTAACCAGTGTGGTAAGAAAAGTCCCAGAAGCTTCTTCAGCTCTGCCTGGATGGTGGGGAATGGGAATATTTATACTCCTTTCAGACAGCTGGTCATTTGCATTCTTTTAGAGAGCCGTTGAGGCTACTTGGAGGTTTCTCTGTATCCACAGGGTCACGTAAGTGATGCAAATGGGTGTGGAGCCTTCTTGGCTGCAGGATGTTTTCTGCTCTGTGTCCCTCCTGCAGCCAAGAAGGCTCTGCACGGATTTGCACCACTCAGGTGACCTTTAGTGGCCTCAATGGCTTTCTAAAAAACGCAAATGACCAGCTATCTAAAAGGAGTATAAATCCTTCCATTCCCCACTATGATTTTTTTTCCCTTCAAGATATTTCCCTTGTCATCGAAGAAGCTTCTTCAGCTCCAACCGGATGGTGGCGAATTTGAAGGATTTATACTCTTTTCAGACAGCTGGTCATTTGCGTTATTTTAGAGAGTCGTTGAAGCCGCTTGGAGTTTATCTGTGTCCTCGGGGTCACCTGAGTGGTGCAAATGGATGTGGAGCCTTCGTGGCTGCAGGATGCTTTCTGCCCTGGGTCCCTCCTGTAGTCAAGAAGGCTCCACACGGATTTGCACCATCGAGGTGACCTTAAGGACATAAGGAAACCTCCAAGTGGCCTCAACGTCTCTCTAAAAGAATGCAAATGTTCAGCTATCTACAAGGAGTATAAATCCTTCCATTTCCCCACCAACATTTTTCCCATTGAAGATGTTTCCCTTCTCATCGAAGAAGCTTCTTCAGCTACGACTGGATGGTGGGGAAATGAAAGGATTTATACTCCTTCCAGACTGCTGGTCATTTGCCTTCTTTTAGAGAGTCACTGAAGCCACTTGGAGGTTTATCTGTGCCCTCAGGATCACCTGAGTGGTGCGAATGGGTGTGGAGCCTTTCTGCCCTGTGTCCCTCCTGCAGCCATGAAGGCTCCATACACACATTTGCATCACTCAGGGGATCTTAAGGACACAGGTAAAGCTCCAAGTAGCCTCAATGATCGTTTAAAAGAATGCAAATGACCAGCTGTCTGCCAGGAGTATAACTCCTTCCATTTCCCACCATCCGGTCGGAACTGAAGAAGCGTCTTGAGGGAGAAGCGAAAGGTCTTCAAAAAGAAAACAAGAAAGTCCAGTTGCTTCATGAAGAAAACCACTTTTGGGACAACCATGATCTGGGTGACTAAGAATCTCCACCGACAAACATTTAGATCCAAATCCTGGATTTAAGCACGAAGCCTATATTTCCAAGGCGGCTGCAAATGTAACGAGCTCTTTCTTTCAAGCCTCTAAGCCCTGCTCATTTAATCCCTAGTGATACACAGGGAGTCCTCAACTTACAACCATTCATTGAATGACCGTTCAAAGTTACAACAGGACTGAAAAAAACCGAATTCGGACCGTTTCTCAGAATTATCTCCACGGCGGCATCCCCAAGCAATCAAAAGTTCAGACTCTTTTCCAACTGACCCCCGGTAACCCCCAGATGTCGGCGATAGACAAGCAGTCGTTAGAGAGGAAGAAGCTCGAGCAACCCTCAGCGTTATAGACTGGGACAGGCGCGCAACCAGCCGTCGCGTCTCTCAAACAAAGTGCCGAAAAACCGAAGCCGCAGCCAGTGAACTTCAAAGAGAGACTGAGAGATTGCCCCCCTACCAGAGACCGAAGGCCTGCTGGGCAGTGAAATTGGGGAAGGCGACGGAAGCCGAGGACCTCTTATGATACGATGGACTCCATGTCATCCGAGGGATTGAGTGGAAAGCAAGATGACCGGTCGGGTGGGACGAGCCGATTGAGTGGAAGCTTCCCGTTGCTTCCTGCCGCCCTTTGGCAGGTTAAAGATCGAGGGACTGATGTCAGCGGGAGCTACAGCAGCGGTGACCAAGACTGGTAGAGAAATGAAGTCTGTAATCCTCTCGTCTGCTACCATCCTGTAGCCGACGGTGCCAACGAAAGCCGAGACGATTATATCACCGGCCGGATCCGAGGTAGCGAGCTCCGCCACCTTTACCCCGGC